GACTATCATCCACAATCTGATATGGATGGGACTCTAACAAATACTTTGCGGCGTGATCAGCTTCAGTTTTGTCCTTTTGAATCGACGTTAGCCATTCTACAGCGTTTTGTCCTTTTTCCGAAACGCTTCTCAGAGTCCACAATTTTTGCATACAATCGAGTTGATAGAGGGAAAAATTTCCGATACCTGTCAGCTTCACGTACGGTGGGTCATCATCATTCTGGCTTGGTAGGGGGACAGCGCCCGACTTGTAGAGGACATCCAAGCACTTCTGCACAATTACTCTCGGTAACAGGAAGGATAACGCTGCACTTAGGATCGGTTTCCGATCTGTCCCGACTTTGGGGTGCTTACGCTCAGCATCTCCATGCCTCACTGGATAGACCTCCAGTATATCTGAAATCTCGCGTAAGTTCTTACATTTTCCTTCCATGGGCTGTTGCCACAACTCCAACGTCCTCGAAGGACAACTCGGCCACCCTTTGTCCAATCTTTGAAGTTGAGCTGTTTTCGTGCAACCCGGCCTGGGTTTGTACCCTTTGAGGAGCTGGTAACCTTCGGTCTTCCGGCGCGCCTCACCTTTTTGCTTCAAAGTGAGGCGACTTGATGGTAGACGATTCCGTTGATGATAGATCCTTGCAGCCGTCCTCTGTAGAGTTCGTCGTAGGTTCACTAGCTTGACTGCCAGGTTTTACACCAGGTGTAGATGTAGGTATTGCGTCAGGTTTTTCGACACTTCTTCTTTCCAAGTCCGAGTCATTCCCCGTTTCTTGAGTCTTGACCTCTCCTTCAACATTGTCCGTATCACGTTTTTGTGATATTATATCCTCGCACGCTTCGACAAATGTGTTCGAGTCTATCTCGCCGATGTTGAGCTTTTGTCCTTTAAACCCCGACAGGTTTGTTCCCAGGATTCCGCCCAGGTTTTATAGGTTTTCCAGGATTTAGGACAGCATCTTCGGACTGACAGCGATCAGGTTCATGCCGCGCTTCTATGATTCCCGTTCGCAGTTTGCGCAAATATCCGTTGAGGAATTCAGTTTCCTTACAGAACTGAGACATCGGTAAATCGGAAACTTCGCTAGATGTCCGACTCATCAAGTTTCGAGTTACGCCATACTTCTGTCGCGAATCCAAAACAGTCGATGAATCGTAACTCCGTAAGGGGCAAGTTGTCTTCGTGTAGTTGAAGCAGTCAACCGGGGGGAGAGACACCGGGCGGGCGGCACCAGTTTATAACCATCGCTCATGTATAAATGACACTGGAATCATAGGAACTAAAGCCGATACTCGACGATAGCAAATAACATGACGGCATGGTAACTTCAGCGTCTGGTTGAAATCGCAGTCACAGCACCACTCCATTTTTGAAAAATTGTGACGATGATCTCCGCTGATAACCTCAACGGTATCGCTTGGCTTTTCAAGGAAGGCGTATAGCGCTGTGGCTTCACTCGAAATAGCAAACTCGTACTCAGATTTCATCGTAGACGCTACCCAAGATGTACAAATACGCAGCACCAAGTTTAACTCCTGATCATAGCCATAATGCGTCCACCTTCCTTTGAACGACTCTCTCGCTAAACTTTCATTTTCTACGCGACGCTGATGACGCATGAGAGACTCCGAGCACTCCTTCATTGTGGACGATGAATCAAGATCGAGTTTGAGCTTTCCAAAATTGGACTCGATGCGATTATTCGTATTATTGCGAAAATGCGGCAGTCTTTGGCGGCGATATTAGTCCACATGTCCTTCGACTTGTCCCAATTCTCACAGAAGTATTCCCAGAAGGAGGTGTTCCCATGCGCGCAGGAAAACTTCTCCAAAATAGAATAATTCTTCGCGTATTCCTCGTTGGACGGAGCGTCTACCAGATTGGAGAAGAGATGATTCATCGAGTCGTACTCGTCTGCCGAATAGCGTCCGAAGCGAGCCTCACGAACCACACTTCGCAAAAACTTCAAGACGTGAAAATGACAGAGCAGAATAGTAGCATCCGGAAATGCCTCCCGTATCACACTGATCTCTCTCATGTCTTTATCAACCATCACCACGCGGAGCGACTCCCAGATGACATTGGCAGTTTTGAAGTGGCTGAGGACCTTCCGCATATGCCAATCCGAGTTGGTCTCGATAACGGAGTGCTGTACGAACTGACCAGACCCGAAGGCATCCATCACCATCAGACTGCAAAGCTGGTAGTCGTACCTATAAAACATAAAAACAAGTGTTAAAAAAGAATGAACAGTTTAATCCTGTTTTGAGCCGTAGCTTAAAACCTGGTAGGAAACCTGGTACGAAACCTGATTCGTATCCTGTTGGAAGCCTGGTTGAAACAAGGAATGTAAACCTGGTGTAGAACCTGTTATGAACTTACCGATTGGTTTTGTGCGTACAGTCCACCAGCAACAGCTCCGGATACTTAGCAAACGTCGCTCGCATGTGGCCTGTACTCAGTGAGATTGATCCTGTCCCCCCCGTTGACGTGTCATCGACACTTACCACGTTGTTCTTGTCTTCCTCGCCGAAGCCGACAAGAAATTCGGCAACAGCCAAATCATCATCGGCCTGTCCACGGAGCTCATTGCGAATTCGGGTAAGAAGATTCACCACATCTCTCTGCGTCACTTTGTACCTGGAGTTGTCACGGATGTACTCGTAAATTCGGAGACTCTTGCCTCCAGCGCGTACCATCAACCGAAGGTCTTCGACTAGAGGCTCAAACATCGGAACTTGGCGATTGTGTGGATAATGTTCGTAAATGTCCTGGGAAAGTTTGTGGTTGTGAGTGTAGATGGGATTTTTGATCTCTAGAATCCACTTTCCTTTGTGGTACACACTCTCCGCAGTAAAGCGAAATGGACAACCAGTACCTCGAAGCTTGAACTGCTGTCTCTTTCCAGATCCACGGCGGCGGGTCCGCGACCCGTGCGTACAAATGTATCTCCGGCGAAAACGGGGAAGGTCTTCGGGTAAGTATCGCATCGAACCACCGTCCTTGGCGCGCTTAGAAGCACGCAGCATCTTGTTGCGTTTGGCGACACTCTCCGATTCGTGCACCACAAGATGCGCACTTTCGGATTCGCAATACGATTTGCGGTATTTCTCCTAGCTTTCCCAGTTTGTGTGGTAGCGACGCAGCTCCTTCCCTTCAAAAGAGCCCTCCTGGTCTGCTGGAAACTCCTCGTCGCTAGCACTGCCGCCAACCTGCGTGGCCACCTCCCTCTCACCTTCCGATTCTGAGACGCTGGACAAAGAGGCTGGGGGATCTTCGTTGACGGACGCTTCGTCTTCAGAGTGGGCTTTGCGCTTCATTCCTCCAGCACGGCTCAAATTTGGAAATGAATGGAGTTTGAGAAGCTGCGCTGCAGAGATACTTGCGATCCGGTGCCGTATCATGAGATTAGTAGGTGTAGGGGAATATTTTCAAATCATGGTATTTTACTTTATTAATTACAGCCTGGCAAGAAACCTGGCGAAACCTGTGCTTTAAACCTGGTCAATAGTCGCACGGCTATGCACCAAAAACCTGGGCAGTAGGTTTTTCCAATAAAATACCTCACTCCGTAATATAATGGAGAAATCATAGTAACCATGGGCAAAATCCATGATTATGTCCCCTAGCCCTAATGAACATGGGCTGTAGCACTGGGCATTTTTTAATACCGTAAGTGCAGACAAACGGCATGTGGTCGTAAAGTTACTTCCCCATCCAACAAGCCGAATTTGACCAATTTGGCTGCTTACTGAAGTAGTTGCTATTCGATCTGAAAATCTGAGCGTTTCGCCATCTTCACCTTAACCTATATTCACCTTGTAGAACTCCTTGTACCTGTACCAAACCTGCGCGTCAGGGTTTTTCATCCAAGTCGCCTTCTCCATATTGAGCAGTTTCCAAATCACATTTTGCTTCTTCCCGTCGCGCAGCCACTGCGTAAATTGCGCAATTTGGAACTGGGTCGCCACCTTTTCGGTCGTCGGCACGTGTCGGGCAGCTTCGAGCATCTTGGCCAGCGCTTCGTCTCCATAGAATTTGGTGAACGTCTTGATCATTGTCGTCCCCTTGCCGCGATTCAACTCGTTGTACTTACCCAAATAGGTTATCCAAAGAGCCAAATTCGGGTTAGTGAGCAGTTTATCCACTTTAACATCAAGCTGAAGCATCTTGAAGGCATCGTCGGGAGAGAACTTCTTGGTCCATAAGGTCAATTGTGCACTTTGTAGCTCCTTTGCGATCTTCTCAGTCGACGGCACTTTTTTCGCTGCCTCCAACACCTTCGCCAGCTCCACGTCGTCAACGTTTGGACGGCTGTTGATTCTTGTGCTGGTTTCTTTGCGTCCAATTTGCCCACGTAGCCAACCCAAGTCTCCAGTTTCGGGTTGGAGAGTAGTTTATCCACCCCAGCATCAAGCTTGAGCAGCTTAAAAGATTCGTCGGGAGACAGCGTCTTTTTCGGTCGATTCTGTGCCACTGCGTTCTCAAGCCACAATCTCACAAACCTCATTCGTCGGACACGTGGGTTCGCTTCCCGGAAGATCTTGGCTAAGGCCTCGTCACCGTAGTGGGCTGTCAGTACAGACGCCATCACCTTGTTTGCGTCATCCTTCTTTAGTAACGTGGTGACATAGGTGTACCAAGTGTTCAACTGTGGGGTCACGAAGAGACTGTCCCCCGCCTGTTCGAGCTTCAGTAATACGAAGATGTCCTCAGCACTCTTACCCGCCATTTTCCAGGCCTGTCTCTGCTGCCGAGCCAACACGGCTGCCATTCGGCTTTGGCCTCCAACGTTCAGCGCCACTTCTAGCATTATTGAAAGCGCTAAATCTCCGTAAGTCTTCGAAAGAATGCCCGCCATTGTCACTTCCTTGCCGAGATTCTTCCTATTGTACAGATTAACGTAGGTCGACCACGCGTGAAACTTCGGGTTGGCCAGAATCTTGTTCAGTCCGCCGTCAAGCTTGAGCTGCCTAAAAACAGCCTCTACTGACTGCCTCCGCTAGAGCCAATACCGGGCTCGAACGCTGTTTGTGACCTTCAATCTCATCGCCTTGACCCAATTCGAGAACAGAGAAAGACTGGGAGGAGGGATCGGAAGAGCTCGCTCTTCCTCGTCTTGGACCCTCAAAAGTCTCGTGGCGTGGGCTTCGTATTTGGTCGTAGACAGAGAGCTGGCCAATGACTGGAGGCTGGAGACTGTATTGGCATCTGCAGTTTCCACGGTAGCATCGCCGTTCGCCAGCACGACGCTTGCAATCAAGAGCACTAGGAACACGAAGCAGCGCATATTATTAAGACCAGACTGCACGTATTAACTGCTCCAAACCAACGGCTCGAAGGCGAATTGCAAAGTAGGAAAGAATCAGTTTTGGCAAAGCCATTGATTGGTCGTTCACTGAAAGGGCTGTACCGTAAACCTAATGCGAGTTTGAAACGCTACCGACACATTACATGTACTGTTTTTACCGTTTTTAAGAAAAAGCAACATTGAAATGTCGCGTCAAGAAACCTCTGTGTTAGATATTTAATAATATATTGGGGGCGAAAGTCAAATCCTGAAAATACGTAGACACTGGCAGCAAAATATCGTCAAAGCCTCAATCTTGAACTCCATGAGGGCACCTGTCGAGCAACATCAAACAAGCATCGGTGTAAGGCTCGGTCTTATATCTGCCCACAATAGCGGGATGGGATGCCTGCAATTTCGAGAATCCGCAGGACTTCCAACCAGGTGTTATAGACAAAAAGGAATGTTTTATGGCGGTGTGTGCTGCTGCTGTGGAATAGACGATTGGACTTGAGAGGAGCGGGATTTGTGTATCCCAAGATCGTGCCACACAACGTCCCAGTGGGACGAGAAGGGGTGTCAACCTTACAGGCCGGGTATTATGACCGTGGGTAGTTAAACCTAAACCAGATCTGGCATGCGGAATGAGAATGGATTCACCCCTTCCCCATCCTTCAGCATACAAAAGGCAGTCAAGTCAATGTTGGAAATCGGCCAATATTAAGTGAAAAGTCAGATTTTCAATGTTGCTGTACTGAACCAGAAAATGTGCTAACAGGTGTCTTCTTTTGTAAAGGTGCTGCGACTCCAATTGAAAGAGATCTCCAATACGGTACCCAAAGCCTTGGATGTGACCTCATTGGGTTTCAATACCGTTCCTAAAAGACTTCAAGTAATACTTTACCTCGAAGTAAGGTTTACGTTCAGACACAGTAGCAGAAGGTACAGTAGCTCTCTCGTTTCTTCCTCTGATAACTGACAGAGTCAGGAATCCACGATATATCAATTTACTTGGGATGTCTCCTATCTAAAAGTCGCTATTTTTTATTGTGCTTTTGAATTCTACTGTACTCCCATCGTCGTTTTGGCTGATGTGGTGGCTTTAAAAGCATTAAGCTTCTTGTACGGCTGAAAAATAAGCGGTACTTAGTTAATTCAGGTGTGGCTTGAAATTGGTCATTATAATTATATTATTTTATCTGGGATCCCTGAGATTGGTCATTCCATCAACGCAAAAGCAGTCGAAAACGGAGAGGACTAAGGCCCTGTTCCGCAAAACCTCTAGAGGTGAACAGCGGATTTGCTTTTCCTCTGGGTTGAGACATTCCGCTGTTTCGGAGAATCCGCTGGAACCGCATGCGGAACACCCAGATTTTAATCTATTTGCCGTGTAACGAAACTCTGCAATATGATACGTGAAATTTTAAAAGAATATAAAGTTTATTAGAAAAAGAGATGAGCAAAAAGATCTCAGATTCAATCTGCGTCTGAATTGTCCGTCAGCAGGTCCTGCTCTACCATATATCGGCGGCTTTCGTCGTCCATCCCATAAAACATGGTTGCCGCGTTCGGTTGAGTTGCTAGTAGCTTAATGAACCTGAAGCGCTGGTGAACTGGGACTTCGTCCGTAAACATATCCTTAAAGATTTTAATTGCTTCGTCCGCGCAGGTAAGCTGTCGGCTTTTGATGTGTCGAGTACTGATAGAGGCCGCAATCACCTTCTGCGCGTCAGCCATAGCTCTCATCGAATCGCTCATTTTTTCCCCAGTGGTCTTAAGTCGTTTAGGTGAAGGTCCAACAATTGACACGTAATCTGTACTTTGACGGCGAGAGGATCGACTTCTATCAGTTGTTTCTGACCCTCCACTGTCGTTATCGATATTGCGATTGAGCCCTGATATGTTCTGAGATCTGTATTGTTGCTCGACATTGCATGCCTCTCGTTCTGCTGCACTTCTATCGTCAGTCGAACCTTCATCGCCGGAGTCGTTGCTTAGTCCACTCAGAGACGACGGTGCCGGTCGTGCAAGGCTTATAATATGCTCATCGTAAACAGCGAATGCACCGGTTGCAGCGGTGCGAGACATAATTATGTCCAGTTCGTGGTACATAAAGAGAGGTCTGCTTTTGAATTCTTTTGCTTGAGGGTACACAGCGATTAAGTCGTCCCACACAGAATCTGGAGCCGTAGGCATCCCTGTGGTGGGGTCCCACCCAAACCCGCTGTTTGCCTTCATTGCAGCGTATGTCCTGTATTTCTTTTTCAGCTCTGCAATCTTGCTCTGCAGTTGCTTTCGATCTCGTGTCTGGCCGGTCAATAGCCCGTCGTTGAATGCTCTGACAATGCGATTCCAATTCGCTTTCTTGAAGTTTCCATTGTATGAATCACCAAGCCGCACGACTTCATCTAAGACAGCGTTGATGAAGCGAGCTGTAAGGTCTTCAGTCCAGCCAAATGTCATAGCTCACAAAGCTGATGATGCCGGAGCTGTGTTGGCTTTCGACAACTGAAACGGGTCCAGCAATGAATCGTAGGCCCTCCCAAAAAAACAGACTCTCCAAAAAGAAACCTTGGTTGAGAGTTTGGATATTTTTAGTTTTAGCGCAAAGATATTATTGTGGGTGCAATACCTGTTTTTATATTCTATTATTGGCTTATGATGCCGACAATTTCATCCAGAATGCTCATCGAACCATTCCCTAATTGTGCTATGGACGCATCCAATGAGGAAGGCAACATATCGGATGACGGAGAAGAAGATCAGATTGTGCTCGTTATGACAGGACTAACGTCGTACTGGTCGTATATTCGAGCTCATTTTGCAAAAGAGGGTTGCTGTACATCGATACTAAGCGGCGCTATGTACTACGAGGAGCTGTTAAACAGTCGAAGTCCGATACGCTTCTCGAATGTCGCTCGTATGAGTGTACAAACTTTTCATTTGCTACTTCGTGAATTAGAAACTACCCGATTGCTACCATCAACGTCCAGAATTCACAGCGGAGAGCGCTTACTAATTTTCCTGTTCATACTTACCGGAAAAAGTAATCGAGCAGCACAAGATCGATTTCAACATGGGCCGGCGACAATAGGCAGGATTGTTCGGCAATGTTTAGCAGCAATTAAGGCTCGATGGGATAAATTCGTTTGTCTCCCCAACAGTACAACCCCCGTCGAGATTCAGCAATCTGCAAAGTTCTTCCCCTACTTCAAAAACTGCTTGGGAGCTGTAGATGGAACTCACATCCCAGTGGTTCCTCCCGCTTCAATTGCGCCGCGGTTCAGAAACAGAAAAGGTTTTCACTCCAGTAACGTGCTTGGGGCGTGTAACTTTGCAATGGAATTTGTGTATATCCTCCCTGGCTGGGAAGGTTCTGCACATGACGGTCGAGTACTAAAAGATGCTGTTAGTCACAATTTTCATATCCCGAAAGGTACGTAACCTCACTTGTCATGAAAAAAACTTTACATAATTTTCCTATTGATGCGGCCTGTGTAGGTAAATACTACTTAGGAGATGCTGGCTACGCGTTAACCAGCTACACAATGACTCCTTATAGAGGAACACGTTATCATCTTAAAGAGTTCGGCGATGGTCAGCAGAAACCACAGACAAAAGAGGAGTTGTATAATCTGCGTCATTCATCGCTGAGAAACGTTATCGAAAGAGCGTACGGAGCTATCAAATTCAAGTTTCCAATTCTGCTACACATGACTTCATATGCGCTTGCAGACCAGATAGGTCTAATACAGGCCGCGTTCGCAATTTTCAACTTCATTCGTCGCCATGGCGATGAATGTTCAGACTCAGACGGGTCCACCAGGGAAACCGAAAACGTAAGCGACGAAGTAGAAGACGCAGGGGACACACATACGGACGCTACGGACGACAGCGATATGAAGAAGCTTCGAGATGAAATAGCATCGATGATGTGGCAGAACTACCTTGTGACTCTTGCTGGAAGATACGGTGAGGTCGTAGTGTAGCTAGTTTTACACCACTGAACAATTTACAGTAATGCCCAGCACGTGCACAATGTATAAAAGTCTGCGAGGCTATTCCACGCAGATCATATTTGCTATTACAGGGCTTTGTCAGTCCACTCGCTAAAATAAAACTCTATCTGACCGAATTCGGGCGGATAGAGGATAGAAGATTTCGAATCGATTTGCTCTCGAATCCGCATTCGGAGCACGCAGAGTTTTGAGTGATCCGCTGGATGGTAAAATTCCGCTGAAATGGCCTCAATCCGCTGGAATTTGTACCTGCGGAACAGGGCCTAATTAAAATACTTCAAGTACGAAGCAGGGAAGTGCTGCATAAAAACAGAATCATTGTACCTACCGAATTCGTAGTGGTGCTTCCGGAAGCTCAAAACTGTACATGCTACCAGTACTAAAAGTATCGTCATACGACACTATCTGCTCCCAGCCCTATCTTACCACTTGGATTCACCCCCCCCCCTGCGCACCAGCGTTCCGCTTCGAAAAAAATCATACTTTACGTTGTTTTTAGGACAAATACCGGCTCGTGTGGCTGATTCCGTACTCAAGTAAAAGCTTCCGGAATTAGTACATGTACATGTAATACTAGTATTGTAGTGACACTATTAATAATTGATACTTTAGGATGTTACATTAGTAATATGCCTCACTGCGAAAGGAATACTATTATATTTAAAAAAATTGTGGTATATGAGCTACATGTATTGTTTAAAAAAAATAATACTGCCTGGCGGTTCACGTAACCGGTACTGTAATAATAGTCACTCTCATGCACAATGGGATCAGTCTTCAATTCCGTACTGCTTGGATGCAGTACGCAGCCCAAAAAAAAGTAATCAAAGCTGGAGGATGCCACTTCGCTAATCGCCCAAGGATCCGAATCTGTAAATTACAGACTGTAATAACGTATTGAGGACAGGAAGAAGCACGATGCGCCACCACCAACGTGCGGCGCTGATATTAATTGCTCTTGCTTGCCTTCTCGCCATGTCTGCGGCAGTAATTGACGATCAGCGATTCGCTCTTAATGGGAGGACACTACGCACGTCAATGACGTCTGACGACGAGAAGGATGACGATGACAGAATGGTCGACCTTTCTGGCTTGGGCCAGAGCGCGAAATTAACCGAGTTGGGGGCATTGAAAGACATAAAGATGAAGCCGATTGCCGCCTTGACACTGTCGAAGCTTGATGAGGCGGGCGACGACCTATTCACGAGTCCGAAATTCAAAACGTGGGTGAACTACGTAGCCTCCGTCGCGGAGAAACACTCGACGACAACAATGATGTCGAAGTTGACAGCTCAATACAGCGACGGGTCTCTGATTAGAATGCTCGAAGCAGCGAAGAAGGTGGAGGGGGCGAATGAGATCGCACTGAGATTGCAGCAAAGACAGGTGAGGACATGGATTAAAGCAGAAAAAACCGCAGACGATATTTTTGAGCTCCTCAAGTTGGACGAAGGGATCGAGAAACTTCTTACCAACTCGAATTTGGGCACATATGTCAGCTACATGAATCTATTTAACAAGTACAGTCCTGGAAAAGAAACGACATTGGTGAACACGTTCGTGACTTACTACGGAGACGAAGCGGTGGCGAAGACGATCGAGGCGGCGAAGAATGAGCCGGGGTCAGAGAAGCTTGCTAAGGAGTTGCAAGTCGCGCTTTTTAGTCAATGGTTGAGGGAAGGAGCGCAGCCTAAAGATATCTGGAAAATGCTTGGTCTAAAGGAGGGCACAGTGAACGTCAGCCCAAACGGGGAGATTTGGCGAGGGTACGAGGCATTTTTCAGTCTGCACAGCTAAAAGTTGAGCAGCTTCGGATGGCAATGTAGAGAGAAAAATAATAAGTTCACGTAACCTCAATTGAATTTCCCCTTGCTCGGCTGAACGTCTAGGACCAAAAGCACCTATTTTATTATGAATTTAAACGGTGTTTTCATCGGAGCGCTTATTTCACGGGATTTTCGTCCGCGGCAGCGGCAGCGGGAGTGAGTGGGTGCAACGTGCAGCAAACCCGTGCAGGGTGCCCTCGCAGCAGGGCCGCGCGTATTTGCGAAGGCGGGCCCGGCGCCGAGCAGCTCGGCTGGGAGAAACTAAGGAGCGCCCAACTAAGGAGCGCCCAAACATTAATGGAGCACCATATGCACTTTGTACCTTGACGTAGAGGCAATCATGGTCAATAAAAGTCGATCTTCATCAATCAGGCTGAAATATTCTTGAAAAGATTGATCTAGGAAGAATCTTTTCACGAATATTGTTGAGATAGAGTTGAGAACAAGGTATCGCGCCCATTGTCTGATTGACTGCCGAAGGGCAAATTGAGCGGGGGCTAATGTCCTAAGAGGGTTGTCGCGGCATGCCGTTAATTCCCCGTCAGACAATTAAAGGTAAGCTGTTCTATACAATTCGTGTATCAATTAATCTGCTAACTACCATCATGCTACTTTTATCTTTCCAGCGCACCACCGTAGCTTAATGGAAAAGCACCCGAAAGGGATGAAGGGGGTTCGATTCCTCCCGGTGGTATTATTTTTTTATTATTTTTTATTTGTTTT